ACAAGCATTCTGGTCATGGATCCCGCCACAGTGGAGATGTTGATGACAGCAGCTTTATTACTGGACATTTCTGGTATCCCACTCGCTTTTGCCGCCTACATAAAAGAAAGAGAAATAATTAAGTAATTTTGGCACATACTCAATGAGTGTAGCGTTAAAAATGACTCAAAGACCTGTCTGTCTGGCAACTCATTTTACTATAGTAGAACTATGTAGCAGCTCACTTTAGTAATGATGCAGCAGTGTGTTTGGGACTAGCTGGTCTCACAGCCTGGCCAAACTAGTCCAATCAGGGTAATCAAATAAAGCTTGTTTCAGCCATTAATTTTGGTACAATGCCACAAACCTCGCAAACTCTGGCACATCCAGTAACAAGTTCATCCGCAAAAACAATCATTTTATTAACCTGTGTCCTGGTGACACAATAGTGAAAGCCCCTAGCCTGCAGGCCACAACGGCAAAGGACAAATTGTTGCTTTAAAACTCTTAACGATGCTTTACATTACCCTAATGATTAATAAGGGTCCTATCACATTGGTGTTGGTGTTTTTCATGTCTTCAACACTGCTGGTCTGAATGGTGCCATTTGCCACGATTCCAGCATTATTCACAAGCAGGTTCAAACCTTGTTTCCCAGTAGAGATCCCACTTTTTTGGCAGACTCTTTGACACTGGATGGATCATCAGAATCTAACAGTAACAGAACAAACATTAGTGTTCTCAATGCCTTTAGAACAGTGGTCACCCTGATAGCAACAGACTCTCGATATCCTACTTCATCTTTAAAAGTAAGATTTAATTACTTTTTAAAAGAGTAATTTTTTAAACGAGTTTTAAACTTGATTTAGCCAACTAGTTTGTCAGATACTGACAATGATACACACTTCAGCTTTTAACGTGTAATAACCTACTTTTACATCCTACATTTAACAGTAATCTTTGCTATGAGATGTCATGAAATTTTGTATGAAAACCCGTCGATCTCGATAGTAGATCTTTATCACTGTCCCAGTACATTAGATCCCGAAAATAACAGTAAAATAAGTACAAAAATGCATAACATTTCTGGGGTTATATTAATGTATCACTGAAGGGAACTGTCTTGAGAAAAGTTTCGATGGCAATGGCATTTTCTTGTCCTCCGTATAAAACGCAATTCTTTACAGCGGTAAACAAGGAAACGCTATATTGCGGTCAGTGTTGCCAACTAATTTTCAGAGAAAGTTGCTAAAGGAAGGTCGATTTGTTGCTAAAAGTTGCTAAATGACGTTGTGATGTCATTGCGTAATCACGACGCAAAATTGTCACATCATCAAATCTCAGCAAAAAATATATTTTATATATGTTTTTGTTTGTTATAAAGCAAATAGCCAATAAATAAATTTGCTTAAAAATCAGTATCCGTATCAGAATCCAATTTGCTAGTTAAAAAAAAAGAAAGAAAAGAACATTTGAATTCTGAATCAGCTATGACCGGCGCACCACTAATTAAAATACTAAGTAAAAGGCCTCAAATTTGAAGTACAATCTGGGATGTCTTTTTCTATCAATTCTTCAATAGGTAGATATTGTCTTTCATAAATGCCGAGGTCAGGGATCTTGTGCCTAAAAAGGTTGGTGACCACTGCTTTAGAAGATAAAATGCATAATTAAACAAGGCACATTATAATATCTCCCTTTTTTCACTATTTGTGTTAACTATTCATAACTCACCTCAGACTTTGGCCCATCTGGGTCACGACAGGTAGCAAAAATATGCTGTTTGGGACAAGAGTTCGCCGAGAGTTGCTTAATCATTTCTAAGCCCAAGCCCCGGTTGGCTCCAGTGATCAAGATTTTGCAAGCTTTCACTACTGCCATGTTGTGTTAGTCAGCTTCTGGCACCTAATCTGCCCCACCTATGCTTTTTATACAACTTAAGTTAACTCCACGCCCATACTGCACTGGGGTATTGTACTCATGCAGCGTGTATGACAGAGAAAATGATAAATGATATGATCAGAGGGTGAATCAAAAAAACAAGATGACAGTTTTGTATTCTATCAACACGAATACTACAATGACTGCTTGTTATTGGAACAATAGTACACCTGTGTGGGATATAGTGGTTGCATATTCATATTAAAGGTGAAGTCTCTGTGAAAACTTAAATAGAAAACAAAAGAAAGGAGTAACCCTCATATGTAATACATTGTTGCATGGTATATTTATAAAAAAACATTTGCACAACTCCCAAGTAGGGGAACTGGAAATTTTCAACAGCTCTTGTGTTTTTTTTTTTTAGCATTCAATGTCTAATAGCCTACCCTTTTTTTGGGGGGGGGACACAAAAAAGTATTTTTCAGTGTGTAGGTGCGTCACTAATACTTTTAGCCGACTACTGCGAAAAAAGTTTTAGTCTTATTGTCGCCGAGTGAAGATAAAAAGTTAAAGATGACCTTAAAGTTAACAGTAAACAAACTAGTTTTGATTAAATAAGGGAAATTGGGGGTGCCATTCATTTACCATATATGGATAATTAAGAAAGTGAACAAGGCCACTATCCTGCAGAGTTTAACTCCAACCCTAATTAAACACACAGCTAATCACGGTCTTCAGGATTGCTAGAAACTTCCAGGCAGGTATTTGGAACTGGCTGGAGCTAAACTCTGCAGGATAGTTTGACAGAGTTTGACACGTGTCCTAGAGCAACCTTTTCACCTGCAGAACTGTAACTGCAACACATCAAAACATGACTTTTATTTAAAGCTGTGTCATTCACCGCTGAAACAGGAAATCTGTGAGAATAATGGAACGTGTGTTGGAGTGCTGTTTGCAGTTTAATTATAGTGAGAAATTCTCTCTGTTTACCAAAATATGAGTTCACATCAGTTAAAGAGAAAAGTGCGTGAGCTGGTCAGATGCACAAGGTGCATTCAACTCTAAAAAGATCCCTATTAATGTGTAGGCTGCGTACAGTATTTACATTTTAAAAAGGGGTCATGGTCTGGAAAACCAAATTTTTGGAAAAGGGTGCGTGGGTGGGATGCTTTGCTCGGCGTGCTTGGCAACCTTTCGGTGAATTCATACATGGAAGCATGAGAGACAAGTCATCGGTTTGGTTGATTTTATTATGCTCGTGTGTTTGAATGGCACTGAATCAAGGCAAAAGTGCATTGTCAACACAGAGCTGCAGGACGGTACATTCTCGCTCATGGCAGGACGAACAAATCCTTGGTCTATACATGCATGTTCTTTAGCATGCATGCCAGCAACAGGATATTATACTGACAAATGACAAAAACAGCCTTGGCAAAGGCAGAAACATCTCAATAGAAGGGGGAATAAAACAAAGAAACCCACAAACCCAAAGCTGAACAGATGATCTTATCAAAGCAAACATCAAACAGAGACTTAAGCCATTTTACAGAAAGAATTACGTTTTCTTCAAAGACGATGACTTCAAAATGTCATTGAAGACACAGAAGGCTCATTCATTTGGTCCAATGGCCATTTAATAAGATCCTTTTTGGCAGCTTGCAAAGCAATATGCAAGTCCAGAGAGAGTTTGGGAAATGAGAACAGTAGAAAACATTCACAAAACGTACAAGCACTGCCTTTCTGATACGGCTTGACGAATCCCAGGGTCCTCAGAGCGGCTGACAAGACACTGAATGTACATGACAGAGAGCAACAGAGATCAAACCCCGTCCACGGACATTTGGCAGCGTGTTCCTTTGGCGGTCCAAGTTAAGATTGGCAGTGCTGGCTATTCAACATACATTCACATGCACAGAGACTAATACAAGTTACATCATAAATGCACTTACGTGGCCTCGGCTGTCTGGCATCAAAAATAATTGGACGCATAAATCAAATGTAAATTAGTTTTTCAAAGGTCCATGCGTTGGAAAGTCCTTTAGTAAGAAAATAAGCATTAGCTTACACTGTAAAAAGTGATCTGTTGCTTAAATGTACAAAAGTTTGGAATCCATTTGCATTGATGTGATTTAAAATGAATCCAGTGTTTTCTTTGGAGAGCTTTATTATTTGATTAATTGTTACAATTGGTAATTTTTTATTTGATTTAAAAACTTCATGCAGTCATTTAAATGATTCAACAGATATTGTTCGTTTCGGATAATCTTGACAATTTAAAAAGTGTAGACAGTAAATATTCAATAAACTATTTGTATTTTTAAATTTTCAGTTGTTTTAATGTTTCCTGTTTGTTACCCAGTTGCTTTGTCTGGAATGTCAATCATACATTTTAATCTTACTGTGTATCTAAAGTAAACTATTATCATTATGTGTGTTTTTCTCTGGGAATCAAACCCATGAGCATTTCTTGACCTACAGAAACACAAATTGTGGTGAAGAACGTGTTAAAAGAACTAGAAATTATGGATGACCCGTGCCTTAAAGATGGCATTTTCGTCTTGAAAAATCACTCTTGGTTTGTACTGACTCTTTTGTTTTATACACTGACAGCCTTTATCTTTTACATTTGATATGATAATTTTAGATACATTACATAGACCTTTAAGTTAAACATTCTTTCTCCTTTTATTTACAGAATCATACTTAAAGCTAAGTTAACATAGTTTGGTAAGGATCGTACAAGTTATATTAGAAGTCATAAGACTTTATTGTCTTTATGTAAAGCATGAGACTGATAGAAAAAAAAAACTATTCCAGAAGTGCTTATAATAAGTGGACATGGCAATATTGTTTTTTTTCATGGCAATAATATTTTTTTAACCATGTTCTTGAGAGAACATTTATAAAGAATGAAGCCTACTTTTAGGACCATTATGACTGTGACAATTACAATTACCATATTTTAATTTTAGCATGTGAAACGTGCTATGACTTGTATTCCAAAATGAAACAAATATATTTAATTGTCACGAAAATAGTATCACAATTCAAAACGGTCCTAAAAGGCTTCATTTTGTTTATGCAAAACATTTTTTTCTTCTTCTAATTTTGGCATTTAATGTGACCTGGACAGGCTCTTGAAAAGCATCCATTAGTTGATTCAATGAAAGCTTAAAAATCGTGTTCTCTCAACAGTTTCAGTTGTATTGACAATTTAACATGAAAGCTGATTGAAGGCAACTAAAAGCTAGATCACTTTTTACAGTGTAGATTAGCTCACAGTCCCATCTGCACAGGTATTCCCCTCTCTCTCTCTCAACCGTACACACACACACACACACACACACACACACATATATATAGAAGTATGTCCCCATCTTCTCGTGCTGCTGGTGGCCTGTGGTAATTGTGTTTATAGATGAGTGCTGTCCTGTGTGTCAAATCTGTGTCCCTCCGCTGGCCCTGCGCTGGGCTTGCGACCGCCGGCCTGGTTAGGCACTGGTGACAGAAGGTCTGGTCTGATCAGATACCTGCAGGAATCACCACATTCACTGTGCTCAGTTCAGATTTGTTGCACAAACAGCCACATGAGTGTTTCCTGAACAGAATACAATACTCTAACAAGCATAAAAATACATAGCACGCACAAATATTGAATAGAACAATAATTTTTAATTATTCACGTTTGAGGCACCCCAAAAATGCCTAAAAATGCTATTTTGGGATGTCATCGTACTCACACGACATCATGGAGCTCCAGGCGTGTGTCGGGGGAAGGGTTGATAAGAATATAAGACAGTCTGTTGCCCTGGTCAGTCATCCCATCTGACATAAGAAGAGCAGGACAAAAGACACAAGATAACAACTATAAACATACAGAATCAGAACAGACGGCAAAATGTTTGAATGATTCATTTTGTAAATTGACCTGAAGGAAGTATCAAGTTCCTTGGTGTATCCAGAGAATTATGATTATTATTATTATTATTAATGTAATATATTTTATAATAATAATTATTGTTATATATTTTTTCCCTTTACTTTTATACTGCTACTTGTACACTACTGTTTAAAAGTTTGATTTAATGTTTTAAAGTCTCTTATGCTCACCAAGACTGCATTTATTTGATCAAACATACAGTAATATTATAAAATATCATTACAATTCGAAATAACATTTTCTATTTGAATATATTTAAAAATGTAATTTATTCCTGTTATGCAAAGCTGAATTTTCAGCATCATTACTCCACTCTTCAGTGTCACATGATCCTTCAGAAAGCATTCTGATATGCTGATTTGCCGCTTATGAAACATTTCTTATGTTGAAAACAGTTGTGATGCTTAATATTTTTTTGTGGAAATCAATCCCTTTTCTCAGGATTTTATTGCTTTGATGAATAAAAAGTAAAAAAAAAAAAGTCTTTAAATCACCTGTAAGATTATAAATGTCTTTACTGTCACATTTGATCAATTTAATGCATCCTCACAGAATGAAAGCAATAATTTCTTTAAAAAAAATTGTACTGACCCCAAACTTTTAAACGGTAGTGTAAACAAAACTGATTCCATATTTTATTCCGTGTGTTATCTAGAGAACAGTGTGGAAATCATATCAGATTTTTATAATTTTTATAACTTTCATTAGACATCGAATCTATTCAGCTATAATGCTGTTTTATTTACATAGATATTAGTATATATTTAGCTACAGTTTATCACCCAGCGGTGTGCACACTCACTAAATCCAGATGGCGAGAGCCCCAGGTGCTTCATGCGTGTGCGGACCAAAGCGTTGAGCTCCTGTCTCTCGGAGCGGCGGAACAGGCTGAGTCTCTGCTGGCTGATGCGCTCGGCGGCGCTCCCCACTCCCTTGGCCCCGCTGGAGCCCCGCCCACCTTTACGACTCAACCGCCGCGCCCACTGCATGCTCTTCCTCCTCAGGAGCGGGTGGTCCATGGCGTGTGATGATGATGAGGATGAGGGAGGCTCGGACGACGTGGAGTTACGCTTAAGACGGGAGCGGCAGAGCAGAGGCTCGCGGGGTTCGCGCGTATCCTCGTAGTCCTCCACCGTGATGGACACCTGAGACTGAAACAACCACACGATGGACTCATTCCTTCACCGAAACGCATTAATAACAAAAAAATGATAGAAAGATGCACAAGCAGGTACCTCTGAGACGGGCAGTTTATGCACTTCAGTGCGGTAGATGCCGATGGGAATGTCTCCTGTCGACGAGCACAGCTTCTGGTAGAGACGACCATAACTGCGAATCCACAAATCCTCCTCTGTGATCTTCATCTAGAAGGAACATCAGGGCAATGGCATCATCATCATCATCATCAATGTCCTCAATTTCATTATGACTGTCATCATTATGGGCATAATTGTCCAGATGCAGTCTCGTTATGGATTGAGTGATTGCACTCACAGCACACAGGAAGCCAGATCCAGGCATGGAGTCCAGACCTAGCAGCAGTCTGGTGATGGAGATCATGTAGTCCTTCACAAAGGACTGCAACACACACAAAAGATGAAATCAAACACTAATGACTCTGCGAGTATTTCAGTCATTCTGTGAATATTTCAGTAGACTCTAGAAGGCCGGGGTAGACTCCATATTAAATAGATGTGAAAGAAAGTTATGTGAGGAACAGTGTTCAATAGCTTTTGTTGGGTATAAGTGATGAGAATGGTAAGGAATTACCATTTCCTTAACGATTTAAGGAAGCATGCCTTCAGATTGATTCAAACCCATTGACTCATGAGTTTGAGACAGAACTGCAAGACTTTTTTAACTCATTCATTGGAAAAGCAGCTCACAGGAGTATTTGTAATAATGTATGTGTATATAGGCTATATATAATAAATATTGTTGAAAATATTAGAAATATTGGTAAATTGGTAAGACATTGTGTTCAGGGTTATCTGAAAATTTCACATAATATGCATTTGATTGGAACTCTATGCAGCTTCTATACTACTCTCCAATGGAAATTAATGACTTCCATTCTTTCATTTCTTGTAGATAGTGAAAAATCAGCTGAACTCATTCTATGACACTGTAATTTGACAAGGAATCTTTTTTTTTTTTAAGCAGAAATGTGTTTGTATATTAATTGTAGCAGTGAATAATGTAAAATACAAAGATGAACAATTGTTAAAGAATGAATCACAATCACTCAGTATGACAATTCCTGATATGGTTTCTCACACATCACATTTATCTTTGTATTTGGCCAGAGAAAAAGTATGTGTGAAAGCATATGGTCTATAGTATTTATATGAATTTAGAAAAAAACTGTAGTTTAGTCATGTGTGGATCACCTGCATTATAGTTACCTGATACAACAGAGTGTCTAACATACTGACACTAAACACCTTCCCAGCTGCAAACGGTAATCTGAACATGAACACCAGGTTAGAGCCTCTCTCTCTCTCTTTCTACAGCACAAATGGAGCAAAAGATGAGATATCAAGTTATATTAGACTGTTTAGAAAACATAAATGTGTTTTATATTGTACTGTATTCGTGTCTCACCTTTTCCAGTTTGGAGAGAGCTTGAGAATAGTGGTCTTTCACTTTGAACTGCATGAAGCGCATGTTGGCCGGGTGGGTGAGTTCAGTTATGATACTGAGAGCAGGAAAAAGCCTTTGAGAAACAGTGAGGAGAGAGTGTCAAGTCCCCAAATGTTTCAAGCTGAAGACGTACATGTGGAAGGACCTACCTGAAGAGCGTCTGAACATTAACAATGGTCTTGGCATCAGCCATGTAATCCTCCTCAGCGATCATGGAGCTCTCTTTGTCCACCACAACCATGGTGTCAGCAAACGTCACACCACAACGCAGGAGACTATCCAAACTGCACACACAGTGTTGAGGAATCAGAAAAATGACACAAACAGAGACACTTAAACTACAGTAAACAGAACTGAAACAACCATTGAACTAATTGCTGTTTTAATCGGTCTCTTTTGTTCAATTTTGACCGCTTTCCTAATTTCTTTGAGGGGAGAGTCTATGGACGGGTGTTTTTAGGGGCTTTTTCTGATCATTTAATCTAATATTGCAAAATAAGTTTGCCCATCCTGTTGAAAAAAACAGCATATAATGGTTAGGTATGTTTTGAGGCATAGCAGCTGGTTTAAGCTGGTCCTTAGTTGGTCATGAGCTGGTTATAATCTGGTTTAAACTATAGTCCTGAGCTGGTCTTGAGTAGGAGCTAGTTGCTTAGGACCAGTTTAGGACCAGCACATGACCAGCTTGAACTAGCTCATAACCAGCTACTGTAGGACCATCTTAAGTGCTCCACATGGCTCCAGGGGTTAATAAAGGCCTTCTGAAGAGAATTGATGCGTTAGTGTAAGAAAAATATCCATATTTAAAACTTCATTAACTGTAATCTCTAGCTTCCGCTAGCTGTTGAATGCTGAGAGAGTGGCGTTCCATGACGTAAGATGTAGGCGTAGCATAAGCTCTGGTGAGAAGTGACGAACGCGGAATCGCAAATGAGAGAGTGAAACAAAACCCGGTCACGAACTAGAAGAACAAAACAAGGATTTGTAAAAAAAAAAAAATGTCAGGATTTTGATATAAGCCAAGAGGAGACTGGTTTTCCTTCGCTGTAAACAAAACTTGGTTCTTGTAAGTCGCTTTGGATAAAAGCGTCTGCTAAATGACTAAATGTAATGTAAATGTAATATAACTTCGATTGTATACATCAGAAAGAAGAAAGTCATATACATCTAGAATGGCTTTAGTGTGAGTAAATCATGGGGTAATTTTCATTTTTGGGTAAACTATCCCTTTAACTAATGTTTCCAGATTACAAGGGGTCATATGATGTTGCTAAAAATAACATTATTTTGTGTATTTGGTGTAATGAAATGTGTTTATGCGGTTTAAGGTAAAAAAAAAACATTATTTTCCACATACTGTACATTATTGTTTCTCCTCTATGCCCCGCCTTTCTGAAACGCGTCGATTTTTACAAAGCTCAACGGTCTGAAAAGCGAGGTGTGCTTTGACTCTTAACTTTTATAAAGAATATCTCTTTGGATTTGAGACTTTAGTCTTTGCAACTTTACAGATCTTCTTTATGCACCAAGAGCTTGTAACACTTCAAAGAGAAAGGAAAACTTTAAATCGCATCATATGACCCCTTTCACACTACACACATTCATACTACATAGAACATACACTCTTAAAAAATAAAGGTGCTTCACGATGCCATAGAAGAACCTTTTTGTCTAAATGGTTCCATAAAGAACCTTTAACATCTGAAGAGCCTTTCTGTTTCACAAAAGGTTCTTTGTGGCGAAAGAAGGTTCTTCAGATTATAAAAAGCTAAGAAAGAGATGGTTCTTTAAAGACCCTTTGACTGAATGGTTCTTTGTGAAACCAAAAATGGTTTTTCTGTGGCATCACTGTGAAGAACCTTTTAAGCACCTTTATTTTTAAGAGTGTACTTTTTAAACAGTCACAAGGATTACCTACTCAGAGAGTATGTGAGCAGCCAGTCACTAGTTTTATTTCTGAATGAATCAGTGTGTTTGAACCAATCGGCTGAATGAATGATTTAATGACTCACTCATAAAGACACTTGTCACCACCTACTGATGGTTCCTGATGTAACCTACAGAACGTGTCACTGAAAAAAACCCTCACTAATGTACCGACTGACTGTCTGTCTGGAACAAACAAAGAAAATGGAGTGATACAAACAATAAAAATCTCCCAGTGCTTTTGGACTGTTTATCAGCACTCAAACTCAATCTGCAGAACTAAATGTTGTATAATACATACATGTGAACACCTTTATACAAGCTTCAAGCAAAGCTTCTCTTACTTGTCGATGGAGCCCACGGTGTAGAAAACCATAGGAAACCAGCAGATGGCCTCCAGGAAGTCTGCCTCAGGTCTAGCAAACAGCACAGAAAGAGATATTGAGAATCTGAGGTGATGCCTTGGCAAAAGCATGCAAAACGAATTAGCAAGGTCTCAGTTGTCTCTTTCCAAGTATTTTTAGAAACTGACCCAATGTCTATAAAAATCACACCGCTTCGCCCTGCTCCAGGGCATCTAAATAATGAAATCCAGCCTGCAGCTGCTCCCCAGTGTACATCCAATTAGTAAAAAACAAGATGACTCAGAGTTTTATTACATTTGATTGCATTATATGACAATGAATCTCCCCATATTAGTTTCCTGTTACAGGAGAAACAATGATTACGTGTCATAATAAATACAAAGCAAAGGATGGATAATATATCTAAAGGCTCTACTCTTTCTTAATTGTTCTGTTTTTAGGACACTCACACATTCTCCAGTAGCAAAACGATGGGGTTGAGCTCCTTCCTGGGCCGATAATACGCCCGCAGCGGAACGATGAAGTTATAGAGGCCGTTTCCAGCACTTTCTGCGGACACGATAATCAGTTTGTTTTTAAAGCCGTATGAGCGAGCGTCCTCGTAGGGCATATGATGACAAGCCTGAGAAGATAATCTGCTGTTAGGATGTTGTGCTGTGAGGGAGAAGCTGGTGAGCTTCTGTGAACTGTCATATATGTGACCCAGGACCACAAAACCAGTCATAAGGGCCAATTTTTTGAAATTGAGATTTATACATCATCTGAAAGCTGAATAAATAAGCTTTCCATTGATGAATGGTTTGTTAGGACAAAATTTGGCCGAGATACAACTATTTGAAAATCTGGAATCGGAGGACGCAAAAATATAAAAATTTAGAAAATCGCCTTTAAAGTTGTCCAAATTAAGTTCTTAGCCATGCATATTACTAATCATATAACTAATACTAATTAAGTTTTGATATATTTACAGTAGGAAATTTACAAAATATCTTTACGGAACATGATCTTTACTTAATGTCCTAATGATTTTTGGCATATAAGAAAAATCAATAATTTTGACCCATACAATGTATTTTTGGCTATTGCTACAAATATACCCCAGCGACTTAAGACTGGTTGTGTGGTCCAGGGTCACATATATATAAAAGATTTGAAGAGATGCAGACATTCACCTTATCCAGGCGCAGACAGCAAAATGGCATTTTCTCCTGCAGGAGGTGGCAGAGGGCAGGAGAGCTGCCGATGTATGGAGAATTTAGCGGGTAGCCTTTGACCCATCTGTGTGACAAAATACAAGAATAAACAGCTGTCTCAGACAAACATCTACACTATCATTCAAAAGTTTGGGGTCAGTAAATTTTGGTATGTTTTTAAAATAAGTTTCTTATGCTCACCAAGGTTGTATTTATTTTAAATACAATATAAACAGTAAATTGTAAGTTGTTATTAGAATTTAAAATCACTGTCTTCTATTTTAAAATATTTTATAATGTAATTTATTCCATCATTACATGAATTTTCAGCATCATTACTCCAGTCTTCAGTGTCACATGATCCTTCAGAAAGCATTCTGATATACTGCTTTGCCACACATTTTGAAAACATTTGTGCTGCTTAATATTTTTGTGGAAACTGTAATACAGTATTTATTTGAAAAATAAATATTTTGTAACATAACATTACAAATGTCTTTACCATCACTTTTGATCAATTTAATGTGTCTTTGCTGAATAAAATAATTCATTTCTTAAAAACGGTAAAAAAAAGCTTCTGAATGGTAGCACTGAAAATTCAGTGATGCCATCACAGGAATACATTTTAATTTTAAAATTTTAGTTTAATTAATAAAAAATTTTTTTTTTTTTTACAATAGAACAGTTATTTCAAACTAACAAGATTTCACAGTATTTCCGTTTTACTGTATTTTGATCAAATGTAGTGTATCTGCAATATAATCAATACTTTCTACTTTTAAAATTCTGATGATTGTTGTACAATCTATAAATACAACTATAAATAACATAAACAGTGGTTTGTCACACTTCAGTCAATTCCTGTCTGGTTGGACGAAAAAAGCTGCAAAGTGGACCAGACTTTATCCTAATAGTCAAACGTCTGGCTTTCTGAGACTAATGAGGTCTAGACCAAAACCACATTTATGTGGTCTAGAGACCAGGACCTGGTCCCACATGATCTAAGACTCACTCGCAGTGTGCTCCCCACCACTGGCCTTTCTGCTCTCCCCCGTCTTCCTCCTTCCCTTCCTCTCCTCCCTCGTCCTCCGATTGGTCCCCTAGCAGGTCAAATGTAGCGCTGTGCACCCCCTCAACCACCTCCAGGACGGGGGCGATGCTGTGTCTCCTCTCCTCCCCTGAGCCACTCATGGCGGGCAGCGCTAGAGTGTTACAGCCGCCCACTTCTGTCCTGGAGCCACTCCTGCTCACACTCCCACTGCCCAGAGCCGGCGGACCCGAGCCTTCTGGACTGCTGTCACTGGAGTCCTGCAGGTCTATGGCTACCGTGCCTGTTAGAAGACCAAAGACATCAAAACCTGACTTTATTAACTTTCTTAATGCACATTTCAAATTTTTTTTTAATGTTTAATAATATTTAATGAAAATCTAATAACTTTCTCAGGAGGATAAGAGTTTTAGAGAAAGGGCGTGTGGTTGAAAAAATGGTGTAAATTAGCAGATCGCCTCCAATCGCTTACAGCACCTTCAATCAAACTACTCAAGTCCAAGATATGGCAGAACTGAGTTCCAGTGCTTTTCACTAGATGGTGATATTGCACTTAAATGGGACATTTTGTTAGCAGAAAACCCTATTGAAATTATGCAGGGAATTTAACAACTGTTTCTCTTTTTCTGTCTACATCCATCTCACGTCCACAGTAAAGAACAAGAGTTACTGTGTTCTACTGATACCGAATTGCATTACTGCATTGCGTAGTATTTATGGAAATTACGTAAAATTAACATGAATAATTTGATTATTAATCAGCACAGAATTATTTAAAATAAAGTTTTGATACAGTGAAAACAATTCCCTGATCACAATTATGATAACCACAATCACAAACTCAATAAGAATAGAATTACATTAATATTTCTCAATATAATAATAATAATAATAATAATAATAATAAATCACTTGGACTTAAGTGAACCAAAGATACTACCAAATAATATTTTAAACTTTTAAAAATTATTTAAAACATAATAATAATAATAATAATAAATCACTTGGACTTAAGTGAACCAAAGATACTACCAAATAATATTTTAAACTTTTAAAAATTATTTAAAACATTATTCTTAAACTTTAAATAATAATAATAATAATTGATTTGGATTTATATGAACCAAATATACTACCAAAGAATATATATATATATACATATATATATATTTATATTTAAAACATTATTCTTAAACCTTAAAGGAAATCATATATTTTACTGTATGATTTCAGATTCAGTGTGAATAAATTGCGTAAAAAAAATAGATAAATAAAAAAAAATGTGCGGCGGGACCTGGTTCAGTCAATTAGATGATAATTGGCTAGAGGCAGATATGAATGCGAGCTTGCAGTTGTTTGTAAAAAAGTAGTTTAGGCAGACAAAACAGACAGGATGAATTTCCATTTCATGCTGACTTTAATGTGCATGTGTAATAAGAAAAACAGACTATTGCAGATACAGATTATTGCGAATAACAATTCAATTGTTTGGTTTTCTTATTACAGTACATCAGGCAAAAGTTTATGATTGAAATGAAAATGTGAGTTTACAGACTAACCCATGCTGGCAATAATACTGTGCACTGGTAGTCGAGTGAGGCCATGATAGATTGTCTGCGAGACCCCTCTGGAGTCACCCCCGGGGCCCCTGACTGGCTCTCTGTGGCCCCTGACAAAGGCTGAGTTCTCCTCCTTGGAGATGTTGATGTAGAAACAGGTGTCGGAAGCTCCCATGATGTGGCAGGGTCCGGGGTTCAAGAGGATGTTGGCTGTGTCCATCCTGCGCACCCCGATCAGACACACACCGTATCTGCCACAGCAGTTAAAGGGTTAGTTCACCCAAAAATAAAAATTAGTCCATGATTTACTCACTCTCAAGGCATCCTAGGTGTATATGACTTTCTTCTTTCAGACGAATCCAATCGGAGCTATATTAAAAATTATCCTGGCTCTTCTAAGCTCTATCATTGCAGTGGGCGGGTGTTTCTGTTCAACAGTCCAAAACACGTTAAATAAAGTGCGCGCATCCGTAATAAAAAGTGTCTCACATGGCTCCGGGGGGGGGTGAACAAAGGCCTCCTGTAGCGAACTGATGCGTTTTTGTAAGATAAATATCCATATTTAAAATGATATAAACAGTTTTGTGTAACTTCCGCTAACTGTCGTACGTGCGTTCACGAGAGACTGCCTTTCCGGCAGATGCCGCCGGACATAGGTACATGTGAGTCTCGCGAAAACCAACATTTGTTTACAGGAGCAAAGGAAGCAAAGTTTCCTTACTTTAGCAAAGGAAAACCAGTCTCCTCTTGGCTTATATCGAAATCCTCCGACGTTTTTCTTTACAAATCCTCATTTTGTGCTTGTAATTCGTGACCGGCGTTTTGTTTTGTTCTCTCTCCGTCGCACTTCCACGTTCGTCACTAATCACCGGCGCTTACGCTACGCATACGTCCTCCGTCGGAACGGCTTCAGCATACGACAGTTAGGAGAAGTGAAAGAAAGGTGTTCATAACGTTTTAAATATGGATATTTTTCTTACAAAACCGCATCAGTTCGCTACAGGAGGCCTTTATTCACCCCCCGGAGCCATGTGAGGCACTTTTTATTACGGATGCGCGTGCTTTATTTGACCACTTTTGGACTGTTGAACAAAAACACCCGCACATGCCATTATAAAGCTTGGAAGAGCAAGGATCATTTTTAATATAACTCCCATTGGATTCGTCTGAAAGAAGAAAGTCTTATACACCTAGGATGCATGTAAAACATGGACTAATTTTCATTTTTGGGTGAACTAACCCTTTAACAGCGTTACGGTGTGTGTTTACTGGCATGAAAACATAGTGATTCACTGCATCTTTATCCAGACTTACTTCTTATGTGCATGAAAGGAGGCAAAAGTGAAACTCTTTCCCTGATATTCTCCAAAAAACTTGCTCTCTTCCAGCTGGATGTGGTGGACCTCATTGGCTGCACACCGCCGGTACGTGCGCTGCCATTGGTCGACGGAGCCAGCACCGCCTTCCCTAGATAGAGATGGATGACCTTTTGAAAATGTTTTCCTAAAGAATTAAGGAATATTTCACACAAAACTGAAAATTCTGCCATCATTCTCTCAGCCTCATGTCGTTTCAAACCCTTAAGACTTTCGTTCACCTTTGAAACACAAATGTGGATAAATGTTTAATGAATCCTGAGAGGTTTCTGTCTTTTCACTGAAAGTCTATTACAACAAAACTCTGAAGCTTAAAAAGTTCATAAGGAGATTGTAAAAGTAATCCATATGAATCAAGTGGTTCAATCCCAAGTTTTCTGAAAAACATGATCGTTTTACATGACAAACACATTTAATTTAGGCTTTTAATCACATTTAAACATTGATCAATGCACATACATAGAGCTAATCAAATATGGTAAAAGGAAGCCATAAGTATTAGTTTTGCACCATCTTTATTAACTTTTTGAAGTGTTAACATTTTGGTATAAAGGACTTTCAGTGGAGGGACAAAAATCTTAGAATTTAATAAAAATATCTTAATTTGTGTTTTTGAAGATGAATGCAAGTTATACAGTTTTGAAAAGACATGAAGTTGAGTAAATAATGACAGAGTTTGGTAACACTTTAGTTTAGGGACCAATTCTCACTATTAACTTTGCTTATTAGCAAGCATATTACTAGCATATTGGCTGTTTCTTAGTATTTATAAAACTCATATTAATGCCTTATTCTGCATGACCATATTTTAAATCCCATAATCCTACCCCATACTTAACAACTACATAACTAATTATTAATAAACAGCAAATTAGGAGTTCGGAGCTTGACATCATAAATCATCTGGTTTGTTGTACACTGTAAAAATGCTACAGTAAGAACCTGTTAATTGGTTATAGATAAGTTTCCGTACTATGTTGAATAGCTGCAATTACATTTAATGTAACTTTACAGTAAAATACTGTTAAAATTACGGTTTTTGGAAGTGAACAAGAACAAGTCATTGTATAATTTACAGTGAAAAAACATAAATTAACATTCCTAGAATTCCCTGCATGACACTTCACATTTGATGTTTTTTCTTTGAACTAACTCACAGATTATTATTATTATTTTTATTTTTTTGTAGTGTATAGAAAAGAGCAGCGTGGACATTCTTCCAAATTTCTTCCATTGTGCTCCACAAAATAAAGGAAATAATTTATGAGGGTGAGTAAATGTTGACAGATTTTAATATTTTGGGTGAACTATTTCTTTGACATGTCCTTCACACATATTCACAGCTTGGGAAAACACTGTCTCTTACAGATGGGCAGAGAAAATAAAAACCGCTTGATGTGTCTTTGACATCCCTGCGAATGGCTGGGAGGATGAAGGGGAGGTGAGAACCAGAGGGAGTGGAGGAGTGTTAAGATGGAGGAGGTGAAGAAACAAGGACGCATGACGCAGAGCTAAATTCACAGTTTATGGGATCTTTGCCGCTGTGTGTATCGATGTGTATGCGTCAATATTTTACAGTCGGTGGGTCTGACCTGTTGAGGGGCTGGAAGGCGCCTGCTCGCTGCTTGAAGGCCTCTGAAGATGCTGTTCTGATAATAAAAAATATAACAGTTAAACACATGCTGATGGTTCAGCGAATGAGGACTCTGTAGATCTGTCCTTCATCTCGTCTACATGTATGCATGGAGCGGCACAAGCATTGTGTTTTATTTTAGGCATCATGTTTGTGTAAATATATTCAAAGAAGTGAAACAGAGTGCAGCATTCAGGTTCTGGAAGTAAAAACATCATACATTTCCACCATAGGGAAAATGATTTTTAACGATAATGTGTATAAACCTTTAAAAATAGATCTGTTATGAACTTCGAGGTTGTTAAAGTGTTAGTTCACCCAAAAATGAAAATCCTGTCATTAATTACTCACCCTCATGTCGTTCCAAACCTGTAAGACCTCCGTTCATCCTCAGAACACAAATTAAGATATTTTTGATGAAATCTGAGAGCTCTCTGACCCTCCATAAACAGCAATGTAACTGACATGTTCAAGACCCAGAAAGGTAGCAAGAACATCGTTAAAATAGTCCATGTGACTTCAGTAGTTCAACCATAATTTTTTGGGTGAACTATCCTTTTAATCAATGGTATGTAGTTTTGTTAAAATGTTTACGCTATGTAAACTTATTTAAAAATAAATCATTTTTAACAGTGGAATTTGTGATGAAAAACTACATTACCCAGGGTTCTGTGCAAAAACGTCCACCAATAAGCAATTTGTACCAAAGGGACTATGCTTGAAGCACTTCTTGAGTCTGTCTCACAATAAACTTAAAAATATAGTGTTTCTGTAGATATAATCAACAACTTTAAATGGACAGTTTTAGATTTCACCATCTTTTTTTCATTTGATTGTCATTCGCAATGCTTCATGGAATTGTAGTTCACAAAAGCCATTAAGTAAAGTCTTGTATCTCATGTCGTTCCAAACCTGTAAGACCTCCGTTCATCCTCAGAACACAAATTAAGATATTTTTGATGAAATCTGAGAGCTCTCTGACCCTCCATAAACAGCAATGTAACTGACATGTTCAAGACCCAGAAAGGTAGCAAGAACATCGTTAAAATAGTCCATGTGACTTCAGTAGTTCAACCATAATTTTTTGGGTGAACTATCCTTTTAATCAATGGTATGTAGTTTTGTTAAAATGTTTACGCTATGTAAACTTATTTAAAAATAAATCATTTTTAACAGTGGAATTTGTGATGAAAAACTACATTACCCAGGGTTCTGTGCAAAAACGTCCACCAATAAGCAATTTGTACCAAAGGGACTATGCTTGAAGCACTTCTTGAGTCTGTCTCACAATAAACTTAAAAATATAGTGTTTCTGTAGATATAATCAACAACTTTAAATGGACAGTTTTAGATTTCACCATCTTTTTTTCATTTGATTGTCATTCGCAATGCTTCATGGAATTGTAGTTCACAAAAGCCATTAAGTAAAGTCTTGTATCTTTTTCAAACAGTTTGTTTGCTTCAGATAAAAGTTGTGATCCACCTCGTAGCTGGTTGGTTTGATCCAAGGCTTATAATACTTTAACAAAGACTGATTTTAAATTCCCTGATGGAAAAAAAATACTTCCAGAACCAGCACTGCTGAAAAAGTGGGCGGACATTAATGCATGCTATTCACATCCATTCTACATCATAAATGCCACACGTCTTTTAACACCAGACAGAGGATGTTTTAGTGACACTGCCCTCAAAAATACATATCTCAGATGATAATGCGCACAAATGTGGTTGGTCACTAACAATTCATAAGCTAAAATCTGACTAGATGAAATACTGTAGTCAAAAGTCTGGCTACTAGGGATGAATGAATATGAGAGGGATGTTTATACTCACTGTCCTCTAGAGGAGTGAATCAATAAGGTGATCAGGGTGGAGGTGGCAGGACACACACAGTTGAGGGCCAACATGGCATACTTAAACTCTTCCTCACAAACCACATGGTCTGCAAAATAAACACACGGGAGGAATATTAATTCTCAGATTTCTGATCATGGAATGTGTTTTCATTATGGAGAAATGTTCAATACAAGCTAAGCTCTGTTGACATTTTATTGATTACCAGAGAAAATGATTTCATTCTTCCCGAAGTGTGTATAAGCATGCGCAACGGTTGATGGGGCAGAGGGGTTTAAAAGCATAAATATGCAGCTTGTATTTTTGTTCAAGAGCTTTTTGTGTGAAAATGTGTGTTATTTGAGCTGTAAAGTTGTCTAGGTTGTTCTTTTAGTAGTGAGATCAAAGTCATTAACAATCTAATGTTAAAATATATAATGTATGAATTGTGGGTATACTTCATCAAAATCATCAAGTGGGTATACGTATCAAATCAGCCTCCATTTTATTGTGTATTCTAGTGTAATGACTTGCCCCATGGACATCCATTGAAAATGTATGATGAAAATCTCTATTCTTATTTTTTAATTTCTGCACTTTAATTTATTTTATTTTATTATTTTTATTTTTTATTTTTAACTTCTAAATCAACTATACACCCCTGTTTGGGTATGTGAGATTTTTTCATGTTTCTGAAAGACGTCTCCTTTGCTTACCAAGGCAGCATTTATTTAATAAAAACAGTTTAAATTACAATTTAAACTAACGTTTTTCTATTTGATTATAATAACCTGTAATGCAAAGCTGAGCAGCCGTTATCATAATCCTTCAGAAATCATTCACACGATTGTGCTGCTTAATAGTTTTGTGGAAATCATGATACATTTTTTTCCAAGATTCTCTGAAGAATAGAAAGTTCAAAAGATCATTTATTTGAAATAGAATTCTTTGGTAACATTACAAATGTATATATTGCAACTTTTGATTTAATGTGTCCTTGCTGCATACAAGTATTCATTTCTTTCTAAATGAAATACAAATAAAACAATAAAGTAGAATAAAATAAAATAAAACAAACAAAAAAATAAATTATATAAACTAAATAAAACAATAAAAATATACCCCAGACTTTATAACGGTAATCTATAAACTTTTGACTTTTCCAAGCCTGGAAATCAAATCAAAATGTCCTAAAATATATTTGACCGTAAGAACCCCTGCTAATATAGAGAGGCAATCCCAGCAGAACATTAACTGAAACTCTCATCCCTCCTGATTAGTATTGCTAAGCCATTTGCACATCTCAGTTCCTTGAATTTGATTTTAAAGACACATATTGCAGGGGTCAGAGCCTCTCCACACCATTAACAGAGTGTGAAATAAGGCAACGCCTGACATCTCATGCTCCTTTAAGTCCCCTGCTCAAAACAGCTGCCCTCTGAAACGGCCTCCACACAGCTGAGTGAACACACATCAGCTTCAGACCTCGCTGCCATTTAAATGCCAGCCAACGTACCAGAAAAACATACAAAGACAGACAGTTTAGAACAAGGGAAAAAGCCGAGGGCATAAGAGGACGTTTATTAATACTCAAGTTTTGTACATATAGTAATGTTAAAAAATTAAATAACGCGTTCACCCGGGGGAAAAATAGCAGGTATGGCACTAATGACTGTCTCACAGATGGAGCACAATTTTCATGTGGCTTGTTAGCGGTGAGTGAAAACACATTTACTAATTTTGCTAATTAGGAAAATGAGTCAATAAAATCGCATTAGCATTGATGAAAACACTGACTCCAGACGTGCATTTCGGCTATGTTTATACCATTTACTTCAATTTAATTCAGTGCAGGCTTGGACCGAAGTCAAAACATAATGGACAGAAAACCACTCGCAAAAAAAAAAAAAAGACATAAAAGACGGTCTTTTTTTTTACTGAATCCCAGGTAAACCGTTCAACCCGACTGCTCCTCTGAGGATTGTCTCTTTTGCGCTCTCTCTGGGCCTCACCAGTCCCTTTTCCTTTGGTCTATTTTTGGTTGTTTTGGAGATTTTCCTTTTTTTTGTTCATCAGAGGACGTAGACAACACCTCTAGGCTAGGTAGCTTATTTAAAAAACCTGTGTTCCTCTCACGGCAGGCTTCTGATCGGAAATAAACAATAGGAGTGCAGAATGTTTCCTCATCCTGTTGCTTTCTGCTTCTTTGTTTTGTCTAATTGAGTGGGAAGTGGCAGAGTCATTATTGCTTTATTAGGGTGGATGTGTTAACCATGTATGCTCGGAACTTATTATGTTGCTCTAGTACAATGTTATTTTTCTCACAGGGTGGATTTAAGAAAATACCAACCATTTTTAGCATTGCACAAATGATGTGAAATGTGCTGCATTTTTTATATGAATAGTCTTTTATACAACAGGCCAGGAACAGCTGACACAACCGTAGCTGGATTTTACTGACATCCATTCAAACACGCTACTCGCCCAAGGAGAGAAGAATGCTCCGATTGTTTGAATAACCCGAGTCAATTCAGAGAAATGCGTAGGCAAAAGCACGAAGAAGGATTGAAGGTAAAATTGTGAAATGAGGAAAAGCACAAGGAGTGTAGGACTGATTGTTCTCTGTGGAACAATTTAGAAAACTTTCTGCTTTGAAGCTAAAAAATGTTGTTATTTGACTAAATTGCTTGTTTTTTGTACTTTTTGTCTAGTATCTAGTATTGTTTTGATAAGCATTGTTTTGTCTATTAAATGTTAAATTTTTTTATGTTTTTATTATGTTACTGGCGAACATGAAATATTTTTTTCTTGTTTAATATTCTGGTTATTTAAATAGTATTGTTTTGATAGACATTCACTGATGTATTTATTGTTTGCTATAGTATTTTTCTATAAACAAAAAATAAAAAGTTTTTCTTTTTTCTTTTGTTTTGTCAAAGTGTTGTTATTCACATAATACTGTCTCGCTTGGCATTGTTTCATCTATATGTTGTTTATTTATGGTTTTGTGGTTTTATTTTTGTTTTTATTTATTTTCTTGCTATCTAAAGTTATTGACCTAATATTGTTTTGACAAACGTTGCTTTATCTATTTATTTTTAGCTATTTGTTCTTAGTTATAGCTGAAAAAAAATATATATATATATTTTCTTTTTTATTTTGTTGTTTATTCCTTCTTTATTTGGGCGTTAAATGGATGACATAAATAAATATGACTTGTACATGCGAACAATTCAACTGAGCACAATATGTATGACTCATATTTATTTATTTATGCCATGTGCAATACCCTCTTATTTTTCTGCTCTTATAACTTTTAATATAATCCATATTTATAATCCTGCACAAACAACACATATTTGCACCACCACTGTCCCCTTTTTACCGATGTAAATATCAACTTGTACATATAGTTGTTTAAACTGTTAACTATATTTGTCTGCATCTACATTCTGTATTTTGTATATACCGTATGTAAATTACTGTCATTTCCAATGCCACAACAAACACACCTGGCCAATAAACTGATTCTGATTATTGGTGTTAATCGATCATTAATAAGGCTTGTTCTTTGTTGTTATGGCCTTAGGTTATTAATTAAACAATATCATTTGTCTCACTTGATAGACTTGATAAATAAATAAGGCTCGTTCTTTGAATTATTCTCCATGTCAGACTGAAGTAGTGGAGGCAGCACTTGAAGACGCACATTCACTCATAAAGATCAAACGGTGAATTAAAGACCTCTGTTCCTTTCTGCTCAACCACTTCATCTCCTCCTCCACCAACTCCCTCATTTCCAGCGGCCTCGGAAAGCGCACGTTGACCTCGACTGAAGCGGGGCCGCGGCACAGCAGGCTAGAGCACTGTGATAATTGTGTTTCTAGATTCTTTTTTTTCTCTAAAGCTGCTGTTTTCGTCCCCGTTCGAGGAGTGCAGCAGTGAGAGATTGTGCTCAATCTGTGAACCCCAGCAAGACGGTAACAACAGTGCCACTTCTCTGCCATTAGCATTCATTAAAGCAGCATGCTGGTTATGTTTATGAATGACCTGGCTGATGATATAGCCACACTAACACAGTGCAGAACTGGAAGAAGCAAAGCGGCCAGTTACTATTTCCAAACATGCCCACGGAGAGGAAAAGAAAATCAATTAACGCAGCAAAAGTCGAACAAAACAAACAGCGGTCCAGAAGTCCCAGAATAACCGTGCGAGATGTGAATGAAATGCTTTTCTCCGCAGACTAACCATTCTGTGAGCTTCAGTTACATTGATGTGAACATTAAGGTGCGATTAAGCTATTTGTAGAGCTGAAGTCAAGTCTCCAGTCGTACTCATTTATGCCATCCACTCAGCCACTTAAAGTGCATATATTCCAGGCACTGTCACAACATTCCCGCCATGCATAGAAAAACTGCATATTGATGCGTTCCGCCGAACTGTCAAGAAACAAGCGCTCTGTAAACCACCAAGACGCCATACCGCCCACAGGGGATAACCACCTCTGACTGATATGAAACATAAGTATATATAGTGCAAGTGTCATTTCAACCATAAGGCCCTGTGTCCACCAAAGCGTTTTTTCTCAATAAAAGAAGCACATTCTTATTCATAATCCTGCTGACATGTTGCACATAGAAGCAGATAAAACAAACATTTGGCAAACGCATCAGAGGCATCATACTTTTGGGAAAGTATGTCCAATGTTTTCAATTGACTGCTTAGATGGCTTCATATTTTCATGTGTTTGGGTAAAGCATAAATTCCTTGATGATCTATATGAATTACTCTAAATTTTGATTTGCCAATATGTACATTTATATATTTTGTGTTGAAAAAAAATTCTATATTTGTTAAAGGATCAACATATTTTGTAGATTTAATCACTTGATTTAAGAGATTAAAGATTTAAACACTCCTTCATAGATACACTTGAGAAAAAGAAGTGAGCTTAAGGCCCTGTGTCCACCAAAGCGTTTTTAGCCAGCTGAAAACGCCCAGCTGCGAGCGCTTGAGAGCGCTTTTTGTGGCGCAGCGTTTTTTCAGTTGAGACGCTTTGGTTGCTATGATACGGAATATCCGCTAAACTGTTACTTGTATCTGATTTGGTAGATAATTTGTT